TAATGCAAAAGTAGTCAAAAATATTCTTGCCATGACCCTTGGGGGACTCCATAGTCATTCTCTGTAGAGCCACCAGCAGGGTTGGTACACACATACTACATGTTAACCTTGGGATGAATTGTTATTGCTTTGGTGATCCCCTGACTTTTTGTCTTGTGCCATCAAGTCAAAAAGTTACTTAGTCCAACAATTTGAATTATGACTAAATATCTGAAGATCTCAGTTGTGCTTTGTAGTGTTTTTGGCGCTAATTAGCAAATGCTACATCAGCGTGCTATCATAGTCATTGTGAGCATGTTAGCATTTAGCTCAAAGCACCACTGCTCTTAATGACAGCCTCACACAGCATCGCTGTAGACTCTTCAAAATCAGGTGTTCCTCTGAGGATCATCCCTTTTCATCTTTGAAACTCCATGAGCTTTTCTGTAGCACCACCATCAGTGGAAAAATGTCCCCTTCTCACACAATTATGTCATAATCTGATAGGCAGATTACTATGAAGTTTAGAGAAAATTCAGGTTCCCAAGGGGATAAACCTATTTGATTTTAATGAAGCCATGGTCTTTAATTCAGCTCTTTGCTGAAGGTAAAACATCACATTTTAAGCCCCACTGCGAGGAAGGCATAACAGCCTCTCTTTTGACTTTTATTCTTGCTTCATTTCAGCATTGCTTTCAAATCAGTCTCTGCAAAACTTTCCATGAACTCTGCTCTCCACTATAATAAACAACAGTGAACGATCAATTTGGACCCAGTGAGGCTAAGACATGGCAAGTGTCACACCATGCCAATAACCCATGTGATGCCCACGCTGTGATCCAATGCTGAGGCCCTTTCACATATCGAGCGCATCGCTGAATCAATTTTCACAAGAAGACTCAAAGACACAAGTGTTATTTTAGATAGACTCCACAGGCTGCATTTTTGTCTTCACCCCAGAGTTCTAAATGCTTTTGATTATGATTTTCCATCAACAAGACAGATTCCGACACCGCCCTTAGAGACCTTGCTCTCCTAAAAAGCCATGTAGCTCTCCAAGTATTTTTACTGACTGCAAACACTTACTACTTTTGATTATATCCCCAATACTTAGTGTCCTTCTCTCGAGCCTGCCCAATCAACCTGCATGTTTTGCATGTACGCGCACACACACACACACACACACACACACACACACACACACACACACACACACACACACACACACACACCTGCTGCCCCTGCAAGCATAATATAATTGGACAAAGATTTGAAATAACGGCATCTCCCAGTGGAGAGATAGTTTTTCTCCTGGCAGCGGTGAATTGATAATCCCCTCTGTAAAATACTCCTGGGGTCTTCAGTCTCATGTGGAGCTGCTGCTGCTGAATTGGTAGAGGCAGCATTCAGGGCTGCAACACTCAATTCTCCATATCTCGCACCATCTAATCCTAATTGCCCATGGCTGCAGGGCCATAAAACAGCAACACGCCAATAATGCAATTAATTATATGACACAAACTTTAATTCATTTGTTACAGTATCCACAAATCTTGAGTAGTTTGCCACTGTGAGGCTGACTCGAAAAGTTTGGCTTGATAATCTGAGAGTTTTCCCCCCTACCAATCGCTGATGTAATGTAGCACTGTCATGACAACAAAGCTTTCTTGCCTCCACAATACTCTGAAAAAGGTTGCCATGTAGATTTCTCTCCTTAGAGACCATTTTTATCATCTCAGCTCAAAGAGTGATAGTTTTATTTGACTATACTGAAAGAGATACTTGAGCATAAGCTACTGAGAGAAAGCAATAAATATAAATCCTATAGTTGAATATACACTGTTGGAGAAGTGAAGGAGAAAAAGGATGAGTGGGAGGAGGTGAAAGGCTTGTCTTTGGAGAGGAGCCGACAAGCATCCCAGTCCATTTTTCCACAGGTGTAATTAGGTGTGCATCTGGAAAACAGTGAGAACTAGAGCAGCACTTCACACACGGAATAACGAAGGGCATGCAACCTTGGAGTCGTCGGCCCTTCATAATGGAGGATCTGTTGAGGACAAACGATAGTGAAGAAGCTTCCCCACCAGAGAGTAACCCAACAAACTGATAATCCTTTTGCATTGTGAGATGAGATACTGTAGTTAGCCAAGTGACCTTGGCTCTACTGGAGAAGGATATTGCCAGAGGGCTGTACGCCTCATGCTGGGAGATATTGCTATTTGGCACACAGATACTGCAGCTGAAGCCCAGCATGCATCACACTCTCTGTGTAACAAAACAAAACAACAATAACAACAAAAACACATTCTTGTGAGAGTCTTTTATTTTGGTGTTTTTTAGAAGTAATGTTATTTCAGCGGAAATGATCATTTTCCATCTCTTGTCATTCTCTCATAGTGAAAACAGAGGAGATTTCCTCCACTGTGAGGATGTTCAATGAGCTAAAAGTTCAACACCGGATACGTAAATGATCAATGTATCAACATCAAACACGCAGTATCAAAGTAATTGAATACTTTAAACCCTTTATTATATCCCCAGTTTTCCTAAAGATTGGTCACACAAGATTTCAGTACACCGAACTTTTTGCAGTACCAGTACATTACAGATTTGATGTATTCCTGGGCCTTGGGACACTTTGGTCGGCAGCAGTGACTTGAGACAAGAGTAAAAATATTGTCTTGGCTTCTAATCTATATGATGTCTAATGGCAAAATAAAAAGATGAAAATGCTGACTGCGCACTATACTGTTTCTCTGGTAAACACGCTCCCTAAATCACAACAGATGGACACAATAAAAAATAAATCTAATTTTAAAGTTACAAATCCTTACATAGTTTGAGACCACAAAATCTATCTTCCATTCATTGTTAATTGAACATCTCCAGGCTAGCATTTGGAGAGAATTGTTAATGTTCACAGTATTGATTGGCCTGTATTGGGCCTTTAGAGTAACATTGGCAGTGCTGCAGAAAGTGCACAAATCCAATCTTGCCCCTTTTTTGTAATTACAAGCTGACATTATCCCCTACATTAAGATTTCATGACCTGGGGACAAAGGCATGCCACTGAAAAATAAATCAGGCTAGGCTGTCAATCGAAGAATGAACCCGTTAATCTAAATTCCAAAAACTTCTGGAAAAGTAACATTCAAAGCAACTTTTCAATAAACATAAAGGCTTAACTGACCGTTTGCGCAACACCTTCCTTGAACAGTGATTGTCCAATCATAGCTTACCAGCTGTAACTAGGAATGGTTGGCCTGTCAAGTTTTAAGAGTAGGCTCATACTCACCATTTAAACAAAAGCAAACAGGTAAGATGGATATAAGTGCAAGTGTAACTGATTAAAAATGAAAAATGACTGTATTCCATCTAGGTGAGCCACTCAGTCCCACGGTCCTGGTATTGTGCACAGCTTACTTGAGTACTTAATGGAAATGGAAAGGATTACATTGCAGGCTAACCTAACATTAGCATCCCTATCCTGTTCTTTTGGATATGGGGAGATTTACAACCCAGCAACCCCAGCCAAAGCAGAAATGGGGTAACTTTGACAACACACTGGTTGGTTCTCATCCTTGCCTTTTCTCATGTAATGTTCAAAGTAAGAACATACTGTTTCTGTAAACATGAACAAGTATGCGAGCTAATCTTCCATTTTTCTTTCTTGTACAACTAACTAGCAACACTACAAGAATACAAGAACAATGCTCCTCTGCATGGATCATTCACTGGGGAGGGTGTTCATTGTTCTCCAGGGACATACAGATTTAGCCCCAGTCTTTTAGCATCATGTATGTAACCAAGTGCATATTTAAGACCCTTTTTATGGTTCTTACTTTTCATCCAATTGTCTGAAATCAAGGACCCAGAATTTCAAGTGCTAAATCTGCCTCATTTGTCACTGTACACAGCATGTGTGCCGTGGGGCATAGTCTAGGGAAGGACTCGGTGAGCTGTTATTTGCAAATTGAATAGTCATTTAAATCTGAGTCTAATCAGCTCTGTGATGACTTAACAACTGCAGATAGCTATTACCCCTTGTTATTTTATTTTGTCACAGATAAAGAGAATTGAAGGTAGAGGAAATGCAAGAAACCATAATGAGTGCATTTCATATTTTAAACCCAATATTATGAGCCAGTGGCTACATTTGGTGCAAATTACCATAGCAACAAATGCCACCATATCCACCGTCACCACAGATGTTGCCAAAAGCAAGAAAAAACATGATTTTACAGTGCATCACTCTAAATCGAGCTCTATTTCCATTGCCCTAGTCCCAATTTAACCATGTTGTCTGCACCTCCTCACACACTTCAATCCCCACCAGCCCCCTACACACACGCGCACACACTGCCAGCAGCCATCATTCCATCCTGTATGTTCAGCTGGCCTGTCAAGTCCCCATCCAGCCAAGTGCCCGCCCATCTGTTGAACCTAAGACAGCGTGCAAATCTCAACCAGGGAGGAAATGTTCTATCAAATGATGAACTGAATCTGCATGCAAACAGTGGTTTTCAGGGGCCTCTGGGATCCAGAGCCTCAGGGCGTGCTGCAATGCATGTACGTGAAGCTCCCTGCAATGCAAACTAACACTAAAGCAAGATACAGTCTTGGCCTTGGTTAATAAACCATTCACTTTCTTTCAGCTTAATGTATTGCTATTTACATTTTCATTTTTAAGTACCCTTTTTATGGTAATTTATTTAAATTACTAACAAGGGCTAATCCATGTTGTTCCTGTGTGCACTCAGAAAATATCTTCAGCTGCAGGATTGTTTGTTTTTTTGAAGGAACTGTATCTGTTGTGTTTCTTAAAAGTAAACTTCAATCACACAGACTCAAGCTTTGTAAGGACACAGGAACAATGAATTTCTTCACAGTCACAACTCACTTTGTTGGCCAAAAACAGTTTAAGAGTCTTTCAGGTATCCACGGGCCTTGAAATACCATTTAGCATACATTTTAAATTGGTAAATAAAGGTGGACAGAAATAATAAGTTACGGACATTTTTAATCAAACCCTTGCTGAGGATTTGGTGTAAATTTTGCTTGTCTTCATTAAGCAGCCCCATTCTATAACTAAATGTCTTTTAGTGGTGTCAGGTGGGAAAGGTAAGCAGTCACCTAGCCAGGGGCATACATCTGATCAACAGGTAACTGCAGGCCTGAGGCTATTAATCTGTGTGAACTCTGGCTCCCTGCTTAGACTCACTGCAGTTAAACTAACACTCACCTATTATCCTATTTGTTTGCTGGAGCTGTAGTGATCCTGTATGCAGAGGGAAGCTGCAAATAGACATTTTATGGCTCAAACATGTTGTAACTCACTATAAAGTTGCACCCTTTTATCATACAAACCCTGTAATAGTCACTTACTATGTGTGTTAAATAATGTAAGACCATTGCAATTACATTGGATGCCGATGTGAGATATTAAGATGGGCCGTGAATGGAGATTAAGGAGGTTATTGTTCCTTCCTGCAGCATTATGCTGGAGGCTAACAGCAGGACCTGGTCACGCACGCCGAAAAATCCTGATGTGTGAGTGTGCGAGTGAGGATGCTGAGGGGCGTAGCAGCGTTGTGCACCTCATGGTCAGCGCTCAGGAATTAAGATGCATGCCTCTCATTGCCTGGGAGCGAGTAACGCGAGAAAACTGTTCCCATCCTCCTTTCCTTCGCAGAAAGAAAAAAAAAAACCCAAAACGCATGGAGGTGCGCTTGTTCCAGGAGAGAAGTAAACCTCCTCCCGGTGTGTTCATATTCAAAAAGGCATCGGTGTGAGGTTGCCAGTTTGGAGCTTGTTTTCCCCTTAAATTGGATCCTTCAAGCTGTGACTGGGCTGATTTGCTCGCGTTTCGGTCTCCGTGGAGCTGCTGCCACATTCCGCACGGAAATAACGAGACTCCACTCGCAGCCCGGGCTTCACTTTTAGTGAGTATCAAAACGCAACGCATGCTTTTAACCATATAGCTCACGCTGGTGTCACCTTATTTTCTAATTATAGCTTTTAATCTCAGTGCCTTAAACAGAGGAGCGCACACGGAGGCTTAAAGTCTTAAAGTGCTGCTGACCAGGTGTTGCACTGTAACTTGTAACTTAACACTGTAAGTGCAAAGAAATCTGCACAAATATGAATACTTAGTGGCTAAAGCAGCAGCACTCTTTTGTTATCTTAGAAATTGGTTTTGATGTTTAAATCACACCTGCAGATTTAATAGTTATCAGTGTTGTAATTCATTTTCACAATTCATACCTCATCATACCTTTTCAGGCCTGAAATGAGCATGTTTGTGCATATTTCTCTATATATTTTTAAAACCTTTGTTAATCAGACACCACCCCTTACCGTAGTGTCACATTGAGAAACAGCAACTTCTTCTTTTTGAGCACTGATTTTAATATCTTGGCTCTAGATTCTGTGGCGGGGGCTGCTCTCTAACTCTTGCACTGCTCAGCTTTCTGTCTTCAAAAATACTATATACCACTATCCACTTTGTTCAGCTGTGGACTGAGCTTGAGCAACTGTTGAATATACAGCAGATGTGCAGAGGAGAGATATCTGTGCACATTACACTCAGCGTGTTTGGTGTCCTGGAAGCAGCCTCATTAAGTAAAACAACAATTGCCTCTGACAGAAATCCTTTTAATTTGTTGTAAACATTAATCACTCTGTGTTTCACTGCCAGTGTAATATCCCAGTGTGAGTAAACCCCAGGTTTATGGGTTATGAGTTTTGAAATGATCCCCTTTGGTGTGTATTTTTTATGAGATGTCACCTCATTTACTAATGAAGGTGTCTGCGACGCACTGGTTAATTTTCTACTGAAACCTCTCCTTGCCATTATAAATAAGCAAGTAGAATACATTAGCTGAGGTTCCTCATCACATCTCCAACCAGATTGGATGGCGTGACCTTGGGGGACTTCGCTGCAGTATTTAGAGAGTAGGTTGGCAGAGATGGAGATGGGGTGCGGTGGTGGCATCCATTATCAAGGAACCCATTTACATCTGGAAATTGTAGTTGCCGTAAGCAATTGCCATTTGTTATTTTATAAAAGGTAGAGGAGCTATTTTGAGAGAAATGTGTATCATCCTGATAATATGCACATCAGTCAGTCTTCAGTGCAGGCTTTCTCTGTACATTATAATTTAAAGCATCTGTGTGATTCCTCTGAACAGAAGTCCTTTATGGGCTCCTTTTAACAATAGAACACGGAAGAAGCAGTAAGTCACTGTGAATCATGGCAACTCTCACCAGCTGCCAGCCAGATGAAGGTGTGCTGCAAGGAAAAGTCTGATGAAACTGCAGTCGCAGTTGTGCTGCTCTTTCCACTTCAAAGCCCGCCACGCCGAACAGAAACGTATCGTTCCACAAGGGCGCCTAACATCTCATTCAAAGTTTGTGCAAGTTTCTCTAACGATCCAACTTGCAGATTTGAGATCTCTCCTGCGAGGTATTTCCTGCAGTCTTTAGCTGCCGTGGCGTGAAGGCCAAGTTAAGCCCGCGCAGGCTTTACTGTAATCAGTTATTCAGCTCTGGCATTCAGACTCCCAGCTCCAGACAGAGGAATCCCCGTGGCTCACCACAGACCCAATCAGACCCTTTTAAGAGCAAGGTCTGGGACCAAGACTGCAGCAGCAACCGCAGAAATGTTTTCCTATCCCTTGGGTGGTGGTCTGCATGTGTCTGCAGCATGTACAAGTATATTTCACTAATAGTTAGTGTCTTTTGTTCCGGTCTCTCGGCTCGGTCACAGACAGTCTTATTCCTTCAAACTATTCCCCTTGGACTTCTCCCTGCCTTTTTTATTTGCCCTCTGTTTCCACTTAACAGTCCTGGCTATTTTCCAAGAAACACCTCAGCACCATTCTATTTTCTTTGTCCTTTTTTTTCAAGCATGAGCAGTCTTCTTATGCTCTGGGCACACATGGAGAATGCATGGCATTTACCGTATGTGAGCATTTCCGAAACAACATCTTACTGGATCTTGGCTACATTTTTACCCTCTTGCGAGGTTATCGCTGATGATAATTGACTATTTAAACATGACTGCCTCCGCAACAAAGAAAGGCATCCTGTGATTGCTGTCTTAATCTTTCCCCAGCACAATCAGCGATGTCGAGTCTGGAGACCACGCATCACTCCTGCAATTAGGCTTGTCAAATTACTGCGTGGCTTTTATCTGCAACTGCTTGTTTGATAATGCTTATTGGCAGGTGCCTTTGGAGGAGCAGAAGAAGGGAATCCACAGCTGGTGCATTTCAAGAGGGATGGATGCATTATGTAAAACCCTACTGTGCTGTGGAGCAGATGTTTCTTCCTTCTGATGGCTACCTCAGCTTCATAACTATATATCTCTATATCACAACATCCTCAGGAGTCTTCCTCTTTAGAAAAAAAAAAGCCATTTTGATAGACAAACGCGCCATCGTTGGCTTTCATCATTTTGTTGTCAAACTGAGCCAGAGATTGTCCCCTCGCTGTCCTAATCGTTTTCAGGTACAATCAGTTAGGCTAAGAGTGTGTACCACTTCCTCTGCGCAGTTTACCTAAGTGTCACCATCAATGTGAAGCATCTTCTGTACCTTTTATTCTCCTTGTATTCATGTTGACAGGACTGCAGCGTCTACGACCTTGCCTTCATTCTTTACTCAAATAGAGACTCGCCTGGACAATATGTATGCTGTACATCAGCTCTCACTCTGCAAGGCTTTGCTCAGGATTAGCTTTACTTCCTGCATGTTTTTTGTTTTTTGTTGCTTTGCTTGTCTTCAGTGGGGTATTATTTGGCAAATGAAAAGATTAAATTATTATAAAAAGAAAAATTATTTTGTCAGCTGGCTTGTCATGCGTCCTTTCTGTGGGTTTGTTTGAAGGAAAGGCTAATTGTTATGCCTCGGAGGTCCATTGTTAATTAGAAGTTATCTCGGGCAGCCCTCACATGGTCACCGCTCTAATTGGCAGTCAAAGCTGTGTACCACCTGGCCTAGCCTTTAACTCACCAGGTGCTCCCGGCAAAACCGTCAGCCTTGGCATTATGTGGGTATGGCCTCTTAAAAGAAGACAGATAGAGAAAGAGAGAGAGAGGGAGAAGTAGGACAGAAGAGGAAAAGACACTGAAGTGTGCCGCCAACTTTGCTAAAATGGCGGAACTGCAAAGCAGCAGTAAAAGGCTATTTCATGCTACATAGCTAAACAAGCCTTTTGAAGCTGGCATGAAAAAAAGGTACAAAAAAATTAGTGTAATATTTTGATACACACATCATCATACATCACACCTCTTTGTTTCAGAATCCTAATACCGCAGGGGCTGTGAGGTGACAACACATCAACATTCCACACAGCCTGTGCAGGTTGGTTTCCCTGTGTTTTGTGGGGGAAAATTAAGGATGATTGGACAATCGTGATTAAGTCTGTTTTGCTGTTAATGGAGAAAGATGAATGTTAAAATGGATTTAAGCAAAAGCTTTTTGCCCTGAAACAGAATCCACGTTAAGTCTTTCATTCATTGCAGTTGAGCTGGAAATGGTGGAGAAAGAGCAGAGATTTAATCAAGAGATAGTGCAGCTGCTTTTCACAATGAATTGGAAACTCATGCCGGGAAGTCACAGAGTAACCTGAATACTGTCAGATTCCTCTGCATGTACATGATTGAGAGTTATGTCTCCGTTATTGGAGAAAATTCACCCATGACCCCCCATAATCTTTAGGAATCATAATGTTTTGTCCTTTCAGAAGGCCAGACAGGTGTACCCTGCGTATGACACAAACAAACCTCTGATAAAACGTGCCTTGCATCGCTGTGCTCTGGGGGACAAAGACCTTTTGTCTTTTTGCATCACAAAGTCAATAGGGTTGTTTTGTCTTTCTGCTTCGGCCTCTAAAGTTCACACTAATTTCCAAATGTGTCATCCCTTTGTTCTCTGATCACAGCGGGGATTTGAAATGTAAAGCGGATTTAGACAATGTACTATATCTTTAAGGTTAGAGTAGAGAGAATTGCTTTAAAATGCTTTGTGTGGTGTTAGCAGCCCTCGGCTGAATATGTTAAGTTTGTACAGGATAGCAGAGGATGATCTGGATCTGTGTGATTTGTTGGTTTTGCAGTTTATTTTTCCAGGAACTGTTTAGGTCCATGTGTTAAGAACCAGCATCGGACCACACAGGCCAGCCTCCCCACATTCATCAAAGAGCCTTGGCCGCCCATGGCCCTGTCACTGGTTCACTGTTTTTCTTTCCTTGGACTTGGACTTGGACTGTTTTGGAGATGCTCTTACCGAGTCGTCTAGCCATCACAATTTGGCCCTTGTCAGATTCAATGATATCCTTACGCTTGGCCATATTCTTGCTTCTAACAAATCATCTATGAGGACAAAATGTTCACTTGCTGCCTAATATATCCCACCCACTGGCAGGTACCATGGTAACGAAATAATCTGTGTTATTCACCTTACCTGTCAGTGGTCATATGTTTGATTGGTATATGTACTGTACAGTATGCAATACATTACCCAAAGATACCATCAGCATATACTGCTCGTGTTTAATCAGAAATTCAGCAGAAACATCAATAAGTAATAACTAAGTTGCAAATATGAACAATATACTGAATAACAGACAGGCCACAAAGAATAACAAAAATAGCAGATTACTCTTTTATCCAGACTAACCATAATAAACAGGCCTATCACTGCTGTAATTACTGACAGTAGAATCATTACTTTCCCTAATGCTCCACTGCTACCATCGTTAATAACAGTTCATTAATTAAACATACTATGGAAAACAGCTGCTCTGTTCTGTGAAAAAGACTTCTCCTTGGCTGGACCCACGGAGCTACAGAGTGTAGCTTAATTTTGCTCTGGAGGTCAGTCCATGAATAATGAGCAGGGGAAATGTAAATACTCCTCTTTGCAGCTTAGAGTACCTG